TACTGTGACTACTGAGACTGTACTGAGACTCAACTGTGACTCAACTGGGACTGTACTGAGTACACAACTGAGACTCAGCTGAGACTCTACTGAGACTCAACTGTGACTCAACTGAGACTCTACTGTGACTATTGTGACTACTGTGACTCTACTCTGACTCTACCCTGACTCTACTCTGACTCTACTGTGACTACTGAGACTGTACTGAGACTCAACTGTGACTCAACTGAGACTGTATTGAGACTACTGAGACTGTATTGTGACTCAACTGTGACTCTACTGAGACTCAACTGTGACTCTACTGTGACTCTACTGAGACTCAACTGTGACTGTACTGAGACTCTATTGAGACTGTATTGTGACTCAACTGTGACTCTTCTGAGACTACTGAGATTCTACTGTGACTCTACTGAGATTCTACTGTGACTCTACTGAGACTACTGAGATTCTACTGTGACTCAACTGTGACTGTACTGAGACTCTACTGAGACTGTACTGAGATTCTACTGAGACTCAGCTGAGACTCTACTGAGACTCTACTGTGACTATACTGTGACTATACTGAGATTCTACTGTGACTACTGAGACTCTACTGAGACTCTACTGTGACTCTACTGTGACTACTTAGACACATCCTCGACTGACACCCAATAGATTAAGTTGAACCAGATTGCTCCTGCTCTTACCTCTGACACAGACAACATAAAGGATTTCTGGAGGCAGCCATGATGGAAATAGGAGGAAGAAAATCATTCTGGGTAATCTAGAAGAAGCCCTTTAGACAGAACTACGGAGTAAAATGTAATCCTCGGACAGAATGTGAGTGAAAACTAGAAGTCTGATCAAAAAACTTCTTGACCCGCAAGCAGCAGACGGTTCTGGTGGTACCACAGGTTCTGTTTAATGGTTCCACAAGGTTCTATGTTAAAAAGAGCCTTAACTTCCTGTTAACAGCTCTGATACGATGGAAGTCAATGGGAGTTTTTGGTGTTTGACCTCTGAGCTCTGAGAGGAAACCATGATTTCTGCAGCAGAGACTCTAGACAGAAATACTTGGCAGGACGGAGAAACTGTAGAAGAGGAAGAAATAATGTAGAAATAAGAAGTTTGTAAAAAAGTTGTACAGTTCAGCTGAGGAGTCAGAGTGATGTCATCAGACTGCAGGTTGAACTTCCTGAGGTCAAATCTGGAACATCCTCCATGGTGACCTGTGATAAGATGTGAAAACAGCAGCTCGGTCATTAAAGTCCAACTTCCTGTGACCCGTTTAAACTCTGAATGATGGTTCTGAAGTCTGAGCTGGAGGTCCAAACAGGACTGGATTTAACTGAACACCACCACTGTGTGTAGAGACATTTTTCAATGTTTTAAAGGATTTTATCTCCATCGTAAGATGTTCTGGTACCAACAGTCAGAGCTCAGTGTTCCTGCTGGAGATAAACGTTCTGATGTGGTTCTGTTTGGGTTTTGTCCATCGGAGTGAGTAGTTGTTTCTGAACAACTCTGGGTTCACACAACTGACCTGAAGTCTTCCTCCTCTTCCTCAGAACCATCCATGGGCTGATCTACAATGCTCTGAAGCTCTTCATGGAGATGAACCAGAAGCTGTTTGATGACTGCACGCAGCAGTACAAGGCTGAAAAACAAAAGTACACACACACACATGAGCCTCTTATCTGTGATTATATCAACACAACAACAGTCTCATTCCACAATGTGTGTGTGCTGCAGAGAGAAGTACAAGCTAAAGGAACGAGAGGAAATCTGGTTTAGGATTGAGGATTTGGCCCGACAGAACCCGCAGGTACACAAGTTCACGTCTCCCACTGCTCTGACTTCTGTGAAAGCTCTGAGTAAAACCTGACTTTAGACAAACTGATTAGATTGACCTCGAAATTAGGAAACTGAATAAGAAAATGATCCATTTGGCAAGTTTTCAGTTTAAAGAACTCTGTAAGTTAAACTCAAATTTAGAGAAAGTCTGAATATGTTCCCCTCGAGTAGTTTCCACCAAGTTTGAACAAGTCTGGGAAGGTAAGCTAACTGGAGTAACTTAACTGGAAGTCATGGATAAACTCAGTTTTGTCTTTTCGTGATTAAGGTAACGCAGTTTCCATGTCTTGAGTCCGTCTCCCTCACTAAAAGCTTTTACATGAGACACCCATTAAAATGAGCACAATGATGCCTTCACTGTCCAGGGAAAAACCAAAGTCAAATTTGCTGCACTGTTGGGGGGGGGGGTCTTTTGTTTGTGCCTACTGCCTACGCACCAAACAGCAGTTCAGAGTATCTGGCGGATACTGTGGGGGGACATGTACAGTAGTCCCTCGTTCATCGCGGGGGATCCGTACCCTGAAGACCCGCGATAAGTGAAAAACCGCGACGTAGGAACAGTAGTACAAGTTGTAAGTAGTAGTTTATTTTATTTTAATTATATATATATATATATATATATATATATATATATATAAAGGTGTTTTAAACCCTGCCCACACTCTTGCAATATTCTAAACAATGTTTCTAAACTCCGAACACAAAATGTCATGATTTCAGCTCCCTGCTTCCTCTGCTCTTTGCCGCCTGCAAAGCTCTTGGCCATGCCCACTTATCCGCTCTGCACGGTGAACGTCTGATAAGCTGCAGCAGGAAGTTTATTCTGCAGTATGGGCTGCACAAATGTGCAGTAGGTGTTAAATAATTTAAAATAATTTATTTTAAATAAATATTCCATGCCGATTGTGCGGCTTATCCATCAATCAGCCAATTGTGTTTCATGTCCGATCTTATTTTGAAAAACCACGATAGAGCAAATCTGCGATAAACGAACTGCGAAGTATCGAGGGACTACTGTATTCACGGTGGGCACCTCCACTGTCGAGGTGTCTGCCTTGAACTGAAGGCTCAAGGTTGTCGGTGCCTCTCGCAGCAGCCATCCTTGAACTCAGTTATCAGAATCAGCACCTCCAAGTCTGAGGGGCTGATTAAATCCTTAAAAGAAAGAGTGTGGACTGCCCTATGTGGGTTTGGACTGAGGTTCTGCCTCAAGTGAAGGAAGAATGGAGCTGACAGACGGATTGTGGACTCTGTGCCGGTCCGTTGTGATGAAGAGGGAGCTGCGCTGGAAGAAGCTCAGTTTACCTGTCGGTCTCTGGGTAGAGACTGAAAGAACCAGATCGTGGGTCCAGGCTGCTGAAACAAGTTTTCTCCGTAGAGCAGCTAGAAAACCACACTCTCATACGAGGCCAGGATACCAGCTGACCCTTTGGTCCTAACCTGCACTTTTGCTTGCTTTTAGAGTACTAAGCTCCACCCCCTTCGACCTGGACTCCACCCACAGGAAGAGGTGAGTGTTTTGTGTGTGTGTGTGTGTGTGTGTGTGTGTGTGTGTGTGTGTGTGTGT